AGTAGGAATAGATTACCTCTTCCTGTTAAGTCACACATAGACCAGTGGTCCAAATTAATGAGTACATAATAGGAAGTAAGGGTAAGAAGAGATTAAATTATGACTGATGTAAGAGACCAGTTTCCCTTAATCCTAAAAAATAAAATTCAAATACAGTTCAGTAGAATTAGCACTTTGGAGACAGCATTATTATATGTAATATATATAATATAATATATAATAAGAAAAAATATATATATAATCTTTGGAATGAATCCAGGAATTATTAATTAAAGGTAATAATTTTAGAAATTAGTATTAACAATAATTTGGAATGTTTAAGTAATAGCAAAACACTATTTTTAAAACTAAATATACTAAAAATATATCAGACATAAACAATTTTATTTTAATTCAGAACATTAGTACAGTAATGAATAATCTCTATTCTACCAAAAAGTAAACTAATTAGGAAAGTACTGACTTGAAAATCTGGCTAGTACCCAGTAGATCAATCATTTATTAGGATTATAAATACTTACCTTTGCATATGTTGTGTTGTCTGCAAATTGAGATAATATAATTTGTGGGCTTTTTAAATCAATGCTTGCCATTCCTATTTCACCTCTGGCAAGTCCTCTCCCTTCTACAACAGCCACAATAACTGATGGGGAGTGTGCAGAAACAGCAGATGAAGACGTAGCTGCTAAAAAGAATTTTTGAAAATGTATAAACATTAATAATAATAATTTCCAGATTTTTCTCATAAGATCTCAAGGCATCAAGTCTAGGATGTGGCTATTAATATCCAAGGAAATAATCTTTTTTTACTCACCAAAAAAATAACTATTCATATTCAGACCAAATAAAAATGTTAATTCTCAAAGCATATTCACAGTTAGAAATAATTAATTTATACATTGTCTTATTTTGCATTTTATTGAAATACACTCATTAAAAAAACACTGAATTTGAAATAAAAAATATAGATTATTTATCGTATTCTGTCATTTAAAAGCTATATAAATTTGAGCAAATTATTTCATAATAAATAATCATTAATCACAAAATATAAATGAATAACTCGTGCCCAACTCAAGATCTGACTAAAAAGATCAAATGGGATTATATAAACATATTATGTAAAGTATTATAAACTTGAAATATAAGATACCTGTGTAATGGTGGATATTGTATCTTTTTTTTTTTAAAGAATAGTTTATGGCCCAGCTGGTGTGGCTCAGTGGTTGAGCGTTGACCCATGCACCAAGAGGTTGCCAGTTTGATTCCCAGTCAGGGCACATGCCCAGGTTGTGGGCCCAATCCCCAGTGAGGGGCATGCAGGAGGTGGCCAATTAATGTTCTCTCTAATTGATATCTCTATCTCTCTCTCTCCCTTCCTTTCTCTCTAAAATCAGTAAATATATATATATATATATATAAAACAGGAATAGTTCACAGATTTTGAGGGAGAGAAACATCATTGAGAGAGCTTAACACTACTCAGCTGCCTCCTGCATGCCCTCTACTGGGGATTGAGCCTGCAACTCGGGCATGTGCCCTCACAGGGAATGGAATCAGCAACCTTTCATTGCATGGGACAATGCCCAACCAACTGAGCCACACCAGCGAGGGCAGGATTATTTTATTTCTTAATGTGCCAAGAATGTTCTAAGTTCTTTACTTGGACTAACTCATTTAACTGTCACAAAAGTTCTATCAAATACACATCATTATTTTCTCCATTTACTTATAAGGATAACAAGGCATAGTTGCAACTGGTAGAGTCAAAATTTGTACCCGGGAAGCCTGGCTCCAGACCTGGTGCTCTTAATCACTACATATGTGACTGATTTTGAGATCTGTGCCTTACAAACTATGAATATTCAGATAAATTATTTAACCTTTCTAAAGCTACCACTCGGAAATACAAACCTTTTACATATAAAAGTGTTTGTAAAGTATAAGAAATTATTTGAATATAGATTATTATTCATGGATAAAAATGTTAGACTAAAAATATCTGAAATTTATTTTCAAGAAATAAAATTATCTTTTATTCCCTTGTCAACATTTCAATAAACTCCTTTTCTTCCCTCCCTGACCTAGATTTTTTTCTTTTCTTCTACTAATATATATGCAAAATTACTTATACATTTATGCTATCTTATTCAGTAGTCAACCAAAGAGTTCATGTAAAAATCGTGTCGATTTCAGAATACTTTTTACCATGAAAGCCACGTTATACATTGTGACTGAGTTCGCATTACAGCTACAGAAGTTGGCTTAAGTTCTGCAATAGAATATAACTTTCCTATTTTTAATTATAAAATAAATACCGCACTGGCCAGTTTGGCTCAGCGGTTAGAGCGTCCACCTGCGGTCCGGAGAGACCCGGGTTCGGTTCCCGCTAAGGGCACGTACTTCGGTTGCAGTTTGTCCCCGGCCCTGGTTGGTTGTGCGGGTGGCAGCCACTCGATGTGTCCCTTTCACATCGATGTTTCTCTCTCTCTCTCTCTTCCTCTATCTCCCTCCCACTCTATCTGTACAAAAAATGGAAAAATGTCCTCAGGTGAGGATAAAAATAAATAAATAAATAAATAAATAAATAAATAAATAAATAAATAAATACCAAGTTCCAGTGGAAATTCAGTACTTTCGGGAGATATTTCCTTTAAACCTCTAAAAGAAAATTTACATGCCCTGGCTAGTGTGACACATTGGTTCGATTCCCAATTAGGGCATGTGCCCAGGTTGCTGGCTGGATCTCTGGTCGGGGGAGAGCAGCTGTTAGCTAATCTATATTAGGTTCTCACATTGATGTTTCTCTCACCCTCTCCCTCCTTCTAAAAAAATAAATTAAAAATCTTAAAAATAAATCAAAGAACATTTATATTTATCTCTCTGTTATAAATAATACTACAGGGTGGGACAAAAGTAGATTTACAGTTGTGAGTACACAAAACAGTTTATTCTTATTATTTTCTATACCAACAACTGTAAACCTACTTTTGCCCCACCTTGTATAATAAGCATCCTTGTGCATAAAGCTTTTTTCCGAATTTCTGATTATTTCCTTAAAATGGATCCTTATAAGTCAAATGATGGAAAAACCATCATTTTTTATTTTTATTAAATTTATTGGGGTAACTTTGGTTAATAAAATTATATAGATTTTCAAGTGTACAATTCTGTATAGTGTATGCCCAGAAAACCATTTTTTAAAAATTTTGCTGTTGTTGTTACTCCTCAGCCGGGGATATTTTTCCATTGATTTTCAGATGGACTGGAAGGGAGGGAGGGAGAGTGTGAGAGAGAAACTGATGTGCAAGACACACATCAATTGGTTGCCTTCCACATGACCCTGAGTGGGGCCAGGGATCAAACCTGCAACCCAGGCATGTGTCCTTGACCAGGAATTGAACCCAAGATCCTTCAGTCCGTGGGCTGACACTTTAACCACTAGGCCAAACTGGCCAGGGCAACCGCCATTTCTTCAAGGATCTCATATATATTACCAGATTTCTTTTCAGAATTATGCCAATTTTTAATTACATCAGCAGTATGAGAAAAATCAATTTTACAATATCCTTACTAACAGTGACTTCTGAACTGTATTACTATTATTATTACTGGCTAATTTATTTTATTTTTAATTTTTTTTCCTTTATTAATTTGAGAGAGAGGAAGTGAGAGGGAGAGATAGACAGAAACATCGATGAGAGAGAATATCAATTGGCCGCCTCCTGCATGCTCCCCACTGGGGATCGGGCCCACAACCTGGACATGTGTCCTGACTAGCAATTGAACAGGTAACCAACCTCTTGGTGCAACCACTGAGCCACACTGGCCAGACTATTATTGGCTGGTTTAATAGACTGGTGATTAAATTTGTATTTTTTTAAATGACTATAAAAATTTAATATAATTTAACATATCCATTTGTTTTCTGTATTTTCTTTTGAGATGTTTATAGCCTTTAAATATAATTTGTACTAGGTCTTAATGTTTTCAGTCTGTGTTTATGAGAAATTTATAAACCAATGACAATAATTTATAGTTACTACTAATCTTGATTTTTTCATATTGCAAAGATTTCTACTTTGTATAGACAATATTTTCCTTTAAAATTTCTTCCATTGCTTTTCTGCTAAGAAACTCCTCCTTCATTAAGATATTTGATATGTATTATTTTCTCCAATATTTTTGAGTTGTTTTATTCATTTTGAATAAATTTCTACAAATCCAGAAAAAATAAACCTAAAAACATGGGCAAAAGACACAGTCATTTCAAAAAAAGAGAAAGATATAGGACCAAAAGTATACAAAAAGATAATCAACATCATTTCTAACCAGAAAAACGCAAATTTAGATGATAGGTACTATTTTACAACTGCTATACTGATAAATATTAAGATTTCTGACAATGCCAAATGTTGAAAAGGAGGTAAAATAACAAGAACTCTCATACATTGCTTGTAAGAATGCAGTTGGTAGAACCACTCAGATCAACAATTTGTCATCATTTTGTAAATGTACACATTCACATACCCTGTAACCAAGAAATTCTACTGTATGTACTTTAGAAAATGCTTACACATTAAGACCTATTTTACTCATTTCACCCTCAAGAAAATCTAGTAGATTTAGATAAAAGCTAAAATTTAAGTATTTTTTTAAAAATACTCAATAATATTATCAGAACCAGCTTCTAGATTTAAACAAACATCATGTATAAAAAGGGACATCTTTTCTTTATACCTTTTTGGCAGAAAGGTTACAATAATGTAAACCTGCATTTGTTAACAAACTATCAGAAACTATGCAACCTTATTAACCTCATCTCAAATTATGGATATAGAGAAAGTGATGTATTTATCTTTCAATCAATCATTCAGATCAGGTACAAAACACTTCAAATGAACGTAACCACCCTAATTTATACTTTTAAAAAGTTTTAAAGTTTCAAAAAGTCACCTAGATCAATAGTTCACTCATTTTACCTGAATATCCCATTTGCGGTGTCCAACTTTTATAACCTGATCTCTGGGGATTTCCAGCAGACAATGGAGTTTTGAGTGTTTGAGGATAATTATTGTCTCGTGCAGAAGATGAGCTTGTACCAAAATTAAAATTTGATGTGAGTATATTTTCGGCATAAGATCTTTTGTTTCCCAAGTATAAACCTAATGTTGAAAAATTAAATATCAGTTTTAAAGATTAAAACTTATACAATGTATTAATCCCTACAATTTTTACCGTGTTCACTTTTGATAAAATCTCATCTGTTAATGATTTTTTTAAATATAACAAATTATGACAAATGACATTACAGATAATCTTATAATAAAACATAAGGAAAAGTGCTTGCTAATATGGCTTTTCCCTCTTCTACAACAGTGGTTCTCAACCTGTGGGTCGCAACCCCTTGGGGGTCAAACGACCCTTTCACAGAGGTTGCCTAAGACATAACAATAGCAAAATTACAGTTGTGAAGTAGCAACGAAAATAATTTTATGGTTGGGGGTCACCACAACATGAGGAACTGTAATAAAGGGTTGTGGCATTAGGAAAATTGAGAACCACAAGTTCACTAAGATAACTCTTACTAAAACTGTAAATTACCTCCTAATCTTCAAATACACCAGATATGTTTACTTTGTAATTATGAGACCACTTTTCCTTTGATTACTTCTTCACTAAAATTCTCTCCTCCCATGTAAATGTATAAAGGAAGTTTTAGATTCACTTGAATTCAGTTTCTTATTTAGGTACTTACTTACCTATTGGTATAAGATATTATCTATTTTACAGGATTGTCACAAAACTTAAAAGAATGTACAAAAACAGTCTAGCATAGTATCTTTTTCAAAATAATGGGGCTTGAAAAGATAAAAATAATGGGGCTTGTGTGGCTCAGCTGACAGGAGCACGGGGTTCAATTCCTGATCAGGGCACATAACTAGGTAGTGTGGGAGTAAGTATGGAAGGTAACCAACCCATGTTCTCTCTCACATCGATGTGTTTCTCTCTCTTTCTCGCTCTCTCTCTCAATCAATTCGAGTGTCTTTAGGTGAGGTTTGAAAAAAAAATGGGGCTCTTTTTTCCTATTTATTTCCCATGACAACTATCTTGATTCTCCTTAAAACACTTGCTTTTAGTTTCCTTTGCTAGATGCTTTTCCTCTGTCTGCCTCTTAACTGTTGGGTTCCCAGAGTTCCATACTTTTTCACCACCTCTCACAAATCAACATCAAACATTTTCTCTGGGCATCTCATCTATTGTCTTGGTTTCTAATAATATCTATTTCCTGACAAGTCTCAAGTCTTCATAGACATCCCTGACTCCTCGCTGATACTGTAAATCACAGGTTGTCAAACTGTTTAATAAAGGACCAGATGGTATAGGCTTTGTGGGCCATGGGATCTGTCACAATTACTCAACCCTGACACTATGGCAAGAAAGCAGCCATAAACAATATGTAACTAAATGAGCATGGCTTTATTTCAATAAAACTTTTTTTGTGGATACTAAAATCTGAATTTCATATAATTTTCACATCAAAAAATATTCTTTTACTTTTTCAGCCTTTCAAAATTGCAAAAACCATTCTTAGGTCTATACCTATATTATTCAATATAGTAGCTACGTACCACATATGGCTATTTACATTAAATCAAAAATAAATAAAATTTAAAATTAACTTCCATGGTCACACTAGCCATATTTCAAATGCTCTCAAGCCACATTTGGCTAGTGGCTACCAGCATAGATATGGAATATTTCTATCATCATAAAAATTTTTATCAGATAGTGTGCCTCCGCATCTCTGTATCTAACTACCTCTTTTATGTAAACCTTTAGATGTCTTCCCCAAATTTTTACATGTCCGTAAGTGAACTCAGTATCTTTCCCTCAAAATTTCTTTCTTTATGATCAGCTGTGGTCAATAAACTCATAAATTCAGGAGTCATTCTTAATTCCTATTTCATCAATCCTAACAACCAATCCATGACCACATCTTATGATTTTTTCTTTTAAATATCACTAAAATTTCTCTCTACCTCCACACCCACTAGACTGTTTTGTTTTGTTTTTTTGTAAAATTTTAATTGATTTTTAGAGAGAGGAAGGAAGAGGGAGAGACAGAATCATTGATGTGAGTGGGAAACATCAATCAGTGGCCTCCTGCATACCCCCTATTGGGGACTGAGCCTGAAACTTGGGCATGTGCCCTACAGGTATTCAAACCAGTAACCTTTTGGGCGCAAAGGATGATGCCCAACTGAGCCACACAGGCCAGGGCCCTACTAGCCCATTTTAAACTCATAGCTTCAGGATTTTTGCAAAAGTCTCTTAATTCCTTGCCTCCAGTGTTATGCCTCTCTAATACAATCTTCATATCTTTCTGAAAAAGAAATTTCACCATATGTCTCCTTTTCTTACAATTCCTGTGTCTCCCATTACTCACCATATCATAAAATCTAACTCCTTTTTATGGGTCCCAACAAGAATTGGATGACATATTCAAACTAGAATTATTTTAGGAGAGTTTGATAAAGGGAATTATTTACAAGGTGAGGAGAGGGTGTAAGGATATCATCATAAAGAACTGTGTAGATCCAGAACCAAGTTTGCTCCACTACCATCCCTAGGCTTATGGGAGGTAAGGAAGGGAGTGGTTATAAGAATCTGGAGACAGGGCTGTATCTTGTTCTTGGGTTATTTTTAAACTCTAAGCTCATTCCTCCAATTTCCTTGACCTGTTTTGCTGTACCTTCTTTATCTTCTCTGCTCTGACCTGAAATATAGTGGTAATTTACAAATCTGTATCTCTCCCAAGTTTCTCTTCTTAGCCCTAGATCCATATATTCAATTGCCTTAATATGAATATACAGATATATCCCAGGGCTTCTTCACATTCAACATGTCCATACAGAGTTATCATTTTCCCTCTAAAAGTTTGTTCTCCAACACTTTGTTTTTTTAGGTAACAGAACTATCATTTTATCCAGTGACCAAAGCCAAGAAACCTGTTGTTGGCATGGCAGACAAAATCTATTTATTTGCCTCCCAGACCAAATTACTACAAGTACTCCAAGTTTATATCAGATCATCCTCGTACTCTAGCCAAACAAAATTATTTGGAGTCCTAAAAGCATGACATTCTATATCATACTTCTGTGCCTTTGCACAAGGTGTTCTTTCTTAAGAATGTTCAGTTTCTCTGCTCTTTAGCTGACGTTCTTTATCCTAGTTATGCTTCAATACCAGCTCAAATTGCATTTCCTCTACAAAAGTTTTCTTTTGTTCCCTTCTTACAAAGACCTCAAAAATCTGTATATACCTCAAATATAGTTATTTTAGAAGTTTATTTATCGATGTTTAAGTCTGTCTTCCCTACTGAACTATACATTCCTAGGGAGTACAGAATATTATTATCTTCCACTCCTAACATAACTATGTCACCTATCAGGGCCTTGGATCCCTCTGTAAATGGGAATAAAAAAAGACTTTGCAAATTATTGTGAGGCTCAAAAATACCACATGCCTAGTAAGGAGCTAGAACAGAGTAAGTGTTCATTAATCAATAGATGTTATTATTACTGTTGAAAACAAGTGTGTGAAAAAGCAATTCATGAAGAGGGGGATTATATTGACAATGTGAACATGCATATTGCCTTGGAAAACCACCAAATAGCCCAATTAGGTTAGAAAATAGGGTAAATATTAAGAAGTGATGGGAGATAAGGCTGTAAAGACTAGAAACACACCCCAAATTGTCTTGGTTATCTTGCTGAAGAGTTTGATCTTGGACCTGCAAATAGAGTCACTATTCAAGTGGCAAGGGATTTTCACTTTTTGTGGCTCTGGTGGCACTTAGCTTGGAAAAAGGAATATTTACGAATTTGATGCAATAGTTCAGACAGAATAATGAGGGCCTGTAATGGCACAGAGATAGAAAGGGACAGATTTGAAAGATAGAAATAAGACAGGACTATATTTGGATGATGTGAGGGAATACTTGAATTGTTGAAGTCTTCTAAGTTTAAGATTTAGGCAACCCCATGATTGAGATGAGGATAAGAATTCAATTAATCGTATCGTGAATCTGAGAAGACCCCCTGAAATAGGAATTTGGAGTAGAGATGGCATCAGAGCTCTGGTGATAATCACATGCAGGTTTAAGAGGCCTAGGAAAAAATAAAAAAACTAAGGGCACATACTTAGGAAACTAACAAAGGTGAGCACAGTTCTCTGGAAGACGGGAGAAAAATAGGAATTGAGTCAAGGAAACCAAATTAAGAGACTTCATAAGAAGACTGATGAAGAATATTAGATACAGTGGAAAGGTCACAGGAGATGAACTGAAAAGTGACCACTGGATTTGACATTTGTTACCTTACCATTAAGTTGCAATAGTATGTGAAAACAGTGATGGCTTTGCTATGGAGTGACCAAATGTAAAATAGGATACATTTTAAAAACATTAAACGTACCATTAACCTGAATTAGATAAAATGTTACGTTTAATCTATTTTCATCACATCCCAGAAGGCTTGGAGACTTAAGCTCCAGGAGGCTCACCATCCCTCTCACCAACTCCTACACAAATTGTCACTTTGTCCTTTACAGTCGACCCTCGCACAGGGGTTTGGACTATGTAGGTCCTTATATGTGTGGTGTTTTTTTCAATAAATACTAATGCATTTCCTCTTCCTTATGATTTTCTTAGTAACATTTTCTTTAGCTTACTTTATTGTAAACATACAGAATACATGTTGACTGTATCATCGTGGTAAGGCTTCCAGTCAAGAGGAAGCTGTTAGTGTAAATTTTGGGGGAGTCCAAAGTGATTCAGGGGTTTTCCACCAGGTGGGTTGGTGACCCTAACACCACCCACACACACCGTTCGAAGGTCAACTACTCCGAGGGGGAGCAGCTGAGCTAAAGAGGCACCTTACGCCCTGGCCGGTTGGGCTCAGCGGTTAGAGCGACGGCCTGCGATCCAGAGGCCCGGTTCGGTTCCCGCTAAGGGCACGGACCTCGGATGCAGTTTGTCCCCGGCCCTGGTTGGGTCGTGCGGGTGGCAGCCACTCGATGTGTCCCTTTCACGTCGATGTCTCTCTCTCTCCCTCCCACTCTATGTGAACAAAATATGGAGAAATGTCCTCAGGTGAGGATTTAAAAAAAAGGACCTCATGCCGGGTATCTTTCTCAGAATCTAGCCATCCACCATCACTGCCTTGGAATGAAACCAGTCTGGACAGTCGGCCCCTAATCACTCCCAGCGCACACCGTTCCCCTGCCCCAACCACACAACTGAAGCTCCGTGCTACCCGCCCTCCGCCCCTCAATCTCGGGCCACAACCGCCCCGCCTTGCCTGGAGTTAGGCTGCTGCTGCTGCTCCGGTCGCCCGCGGCCCCGGACGTGTCGCCCGCGGCCCCAGACAGGAGGGCAGAGGCCTTGGCGGACAGGCGGCTCCGAGGCGTCTCCTGGAGCCCGGAACTGCGGCGGAGCCCTTGCGACCGAGGCTCTGTGGATGACGAGGAAGCCGCATGGGCCGAAGGCGAGTTTGCTGAGATGTCCGGCCTCAGCATGATCACAGACTTCAGGGACCAGTGAGATTTCAAACTGTTCCTCAACCCACCGACAGGAGTGACACGGAAAAGGCGGGAGGCAGCCGCCCGGACCGGCGCGCAGGCGCAGAACCGCAGCGCGCAGGCGCACTAGACTCCAGCTTTCCACACCCGCCCCGCTTTCCCCCAGCAGCTCGCAATCCCATCACCTTCCGCGGGATGTGGTTATGAACCTAATCAGAAGTACAGCTCTCCTTAACCTGCCAAGTTATTGCCTGAATGGAATCCATGGCCGACCAATGGCCATTAATTTGGTAGCCTCATTATTCATATAGCACCCTAGTTCCTTTGTCCCAATACTTGTAAATACACTAACTTCTTTTTAATGCTCACTTTATAGTACAACACATCTAACACTGGTCTTGTTGCTAAACACAGGAAAGAGCCATTAACCTCCTATAGCATAAGCATCTACGTGACTTATCACCACAAAACTGCCCTTCAAACAGTATGCATATGGCTGTGTGCACAGTACAATAGGAATTGGGCAAACAACGGATCTCTTGGGAGTTTTAAAAGCTCCCAATCTCAATTTCTATTATAGTAGTTTCACACAAGTAATCTAGTTAGGAGGAGACAATTTCAAACTCTAGCTTCTCAACAAATAACCTTTGGGAAATTAAAAGTTCTGCATCTGTCCAGTTTTCATGAATATGGACATAGTACCACAGTACTATTATGACACTTAAAACATTACTGAATTCATGCAAGGAAGTATAATAAACCAGGTATTCACAGCATAGTTCACCCGTATGCAATGATTGCAGACCTCAAAACTCAAATACTTCCTAGGATACCATGCAAATAAGATGTTGAATCCAATGACTTTCAAGCTTTCAGGAAAAAACTAATCAGTGGATTGTCAAAATGCTATTGGATACTACAAGAATCTAATGTAAGTATTTATATGCAAGATATTCTAACACGGTTAACTGCCATTTACCTTAATTACTGTGACCAACTCAGAGTAATCGTAAGTCTATAAAATAAACCCCAAATTTCAACAGCTGTTTATTTCTTTTTGTACATTTTTTAATTCATATGTGGGGTTTATAAATTTTTATCAGTTAATCTCATTGACACAGACCAATTTACATAAACTATCATTACATAACATGAAAGGAGCACATAGGTAAATCAAGTACAAGAGGACTAGAGTTCTTAAAGATTACAGTTAGGGGAATTTAAATACATTGAAGCATAAACAAAGTATTGTACTCAGAATAACAGCATTCTATAAGAAAACCAAAAGCTGAAGATAGGTCTTTATTTTACAGTGTGTAATTATATCATTTATTAACATTAACACAATTCATATACAAATTATTAACAGTCATTTTTAAGCTTAGTAAGCACTTCAAATACAGACTGTTAGAATGACAAAATTTTACTAAAGCAACTTTTGGTGTCAATGAATCTACCTCACTAGTTCAGGCAGAACATTCACTCTCTGAAGTACTTCTTCAGGCATGCAAAAAACAGGACTAACAGGTTTAATCTGGTCTTCTCCCAAAAGTGATAATCCAGCAATTCCAAATAAAGTATGAAAAGGATCTACCTATTAAAAAAAAAGAGAGAATTCAGAGTATTATAAAACAAAAACTTCTAAAACTCTGCTTCTGAATGATGGTTATATTGCAGCCCGCTGTACTTCCTTTACTTGAAATGTACACTTCAAGTTTTCTTAATACAAATGGCTTCAAATTGTGATGTTAACCATATACTATTTTGGCAATGTGATGAGAAATTTCTGTAAACTTGTTTTCTATCCTTAGTATAATCTCAAAAATTACGAGGAAAAAAAGCATCTTGTTTTCAAAGAAACACTTTGGAAATACCACCATTTCTAAGTCTGGAATAGCTTAGTAATGAAAAACCCTGAAATGTAACTGTTACATGACCATGTCAGAAATATACTTGCCATATCTCCTGGCCTGTCTGCAAATCCTCCAGTTTCTTCATCTTGACATGCTAAGATGAAACTACGCAGTTTCTCTCCATCAATCCAATGAAGCCTTCCAATTATCTTTAGGGAAGCCAACACCCACCATGAATAGCATACATCTGGTAACTAGGAAAATAAACAAGCCACAAAGTTGTCACAACTTTTCTCTAGTCCACACATGGGTAAGCATGGGGAGAAATGAAGGGGTGTTTGAAATGCTGAAATTCATCAACACAACTGCTTAGAATTAAAGTAATCACTGGAAAAGATAAAACCAAATACTCCAATCCACAGAAAGTTATGCTGTGTAGTACTTCGTGACAAATATCCATCAACTTTTATTTCTTCTGCAATGAATGCCCTCAGTCCCTTACCCAAGCAGCTGGTGTCAAGGCTCATAAAATCTATGGTGATATATGCTACATTTCCCCAGGTAGAGCATTTTCAACAAGTGCTCTCCAGGAAGCTACACACCTGCTTAAAAATCACCTAAAGCCTGGTCCCTTAAAATATAGCTGAGTGTAAGAAATACAGAAGATTCCACCTGAGACTGTGTAAGAATCTTCAAGATCCTTGTGTCATTCATAGGCACATGACACGCCAGAGAGAAAGGGAGGCAAGGGCTGGGTGGAGGGGGCAAAGGGGGGGAAATGGGAACATTTGTAATAGTTAACAATTAAAAAAAGAAAAGAAAAAAGTTGTCCTATATTGTTAAAATGCTGGTTCCCGTTAAGTGCCACCCCACTCATTTTCTGATTGTTGCAAGTTGCCTAGGTTTTCCATAGGACCTTAACCAGAAACCACCTGTGGTTATTTCCTTACACTACCACCGCCGCCACCCTCCACATTTAGAAATACCAAGCAGGCAAAATTAAACAATAATGATAAAAGAACTATTATGTCCTATCATACATTTTTAGGTCAGGGCTAAGCAAGCTACAGCTCCAGTAAAATCTAGACTACATCCAAAGAACAGTTTTTTACATGTATAGTTTTGACAGAAAAATCTTATGAAGTAGAAATATGTCCATAATTTTACTGCAACACAGCCACACTCATATATTTCTTTCCATCTATGGAAATTTGCTCTTCAGGGTAGTTTACCTGCAACACCACCATATGTCCTACAAAGCTGAAAAGATTTACTATCTAGCCCTCACAGACCCAATTCAGAGCACAATGTGTGAGAGCTAAACAAAACTGGGCTGAAGAAAAATTAATTCCCTCTTCCAAATCCAAGTGTCAAAAATTAGGATTTTCTTTGGAAGAAAGAGAGAAAAAATTGAATGAAAAGTCTTAAACAACTTAAAAAAAAAATTTCTTTGGGCAAATCTATTGTCCCTTCACACCCATAAGTAAACATGGAGATTTCTATACTAGACAAGTATGTTCACTGAACAGTATTTTGGCTCCCAGACAGAAAACTATTACCCAGTATACATCCAGAAATAAAAGGTTTAAAGACTTAGCTTCATTTCAATGCCTGAAAAAGGCAAAACGTTCAGAAATATTGGGGGAGGGGAGGTGCAGACGGATGGGGCAGGATCCTTTAAGAATTCAGATTATGTGTGAATACAAATATATTTTAAAGCTAAGAATATTTGCCATTTTTGTGTTCTCTTTTAGGTAACTCAGAATCTACTTCAGGATAGGGAAGAGCAAAAGACACAGATTTGTAAAACAAGCATCTTTTCTTCCCAAGTGTCTTTTAGACACAGAGGAACTTTAAATGTATATTACTAAGTAAAAGAAGCTATTCTGAAAAGGCTAAATTTATATAATATCAACTATTTGACATTCTAGAAAAGGCAGAACTATAGAGATAGTAAAAAGATAAGTGTTTTCCAGGGATTTGGGGGAGGGCAGAGGGGTGAATAGGTAAAGCAAACGGGGGTTTAGGGTGGTGAAACTCTTCTGTAATTTTTAAAACTTAAAGAACTGTGCAAAGAGTGAACCTGTATGTAACTACGGACTTAAATAGTGGAGGAGTTGGGATGCTCTGTACTATCTGCTCAACTTTTATGCAAATTTAAAAAATAACATTTATTAATTTAAAAAGTGTCTTATTTTTTCAAGGTTTATCTGTCACCATATATTACCCTTCAATACCCCTACAAACTTCCCTCCCTCTAGTAACCACCAGTGTGTCTTTTAAATGGACACCAGGTTTTATAAGCAATTCAACCCCAGCTATTTTACTTTTGTCAAGAGCCTTTTTTTGGTGGTGCAACAGAAATTTTAATAGAAGATAAAACGCTAACTATCAATTTATAAAAGCAATATTGAAAAAGATAAAGTAGTACTCCCTAAGATTATAAATCTATTAGAATATAGTTTTTTATGAAACAATACCTTCTCTGGCCTTCCATTCAGTCCACCTGAAGGTAACTGTCGTTCACAAAGCCACCAACCAAGTAAATCAGAATTTACTTGATGCAACTGATTAGTAATAGCCAGGAATCCTGTGCAACAATAGATCTAAAATTACAGACATAAAGTACATATGTATAATAATTTTCAATTAGTGACAAAAACTACTCTATTAAAACTCCATTTTATGTCTAGAAATTTGCTGACAACCGAACAGTTAGAATTGTAAACAGAAATATCACAATCATTTGAAAAAAAAAATCTAAGCATACTATTACTAGGATCCAATTTTGCAGTGAAATACTATTGTCAAAACATTCCACGCTAAAATATTTTATTTCACAACTATTTACACATATACAATGTTCTCTGGCACAATCAAATAGTTATGTTCAGGATAGGAATTGCTTAGTTCAAACCTAACAGAGCCCTGGCCAGGCAGCTCAGTTAGAGCATCATCCTGATACACCAAGGTTTCTATTTCAGGTTCAATCCCTGGTCAGGGCACAAAAAAGAATCAACCAATGAATGCAAATCAGTGTTTCTCTTTCCCTCCCCGCCCACTAAAAAAAAAAATCAATGAATTAAAAAAATAAAAACACAAATGGGAAATCAAAATATATTTTTGGTGATTACAAATCTAATGATGTTTGACTGGGTCAGTTTCACCAACAGGGGAATGTACATAAAGCAAACTATTGTATACGAAAAAAAAAAAAGCCTTCCTTAATCAGCAATTATGCAACATCTGACATTATATTATTCGGTCAAATTATTTCATTCATATTTAACAGACACTAAAATTGCTATTAACATATTTTAATTTGCATTAGTGAATTACCTGCCCAGCATGGGACTCAGAACCTGGCCTACAACCAAATCCACCATCAAAGTTCATACATGATAAAACAAATTCAATTGCCTTTTCCACATTGATAGCATCCAGCTTCCCCTATAAATAAACATACAAAACACATCTATTACATTCCAAAGTAACCAGACACTAATTAATTCCAACAAAATAGTCGTAACTTACCAATAAAGCCAAAGTTGCCACTGCACAAAAAGAGAATCTTGTATCAATTTCTCCTAAAAAGGAATCAAACCGAAACTTAAGTGCTACTAGAGGCTTCTGATCATAGCATACACAAATTACTTTATATAACTACCATGGTTAAATTCAAACTTAAAATCTGCTTTTAGGTCCCCAGAAGGAAAGCTAAAGTGAAATCAATCTACTTCTAAGGAAACTAAGGACTAGAAAAAGGCTTAGTCAAAAATATGGCAAATTATCTTAAGTTGTTTATACAGTGCCTAGAAAGGGAAAGTAACTAACAGAGCCAAAAGGACTAGTCAATTTCTAGTAATAATAAACTTACCCTATTATATAAAGTAGATTTTCACATCCCATGAAGCAGCTGGTCTCTCCGGCCTGCACTGTATTCAGCCCTAAAGTAGAGATTATCTACATTTATCAAGTAAAATACTATTCCCTCCCTCCACTCAAATATTCAGTAAGTTTGTAAAGTTTTTGAATTATTTTTTCCTTGCCAGTAAGCAGTTTTTAAAAAACTTCACAAACCCACCAAATATCAGGGAAAAAAATTTCACCTACCTTATCTTTTAGACTGGCCCCCTGTTCCAGTGCTCCTGTATGCTGCTATAACTAGCACAGTGCATGCTGGGAACTTCCAGCAGACTATTAACTCCAATTAGACCAGCTGCTTAGTGGGACCTGAAAAGATGAAAAACTTAAATAAATTAGCAAAGCCTCAAATTAATCGTACTTAAAAATATGCAGCAAAACCTATTACTAAACACCAAAACATTTTAATATTTGTATTTTGAGTAGCATGTATTAAACTGACATTACCCCAATTATCTCCAGCAAAAGAACCATCTTCTTTCTGTAGACTCTGAACATATTCCACAACTTTATTTACGTCAATAACATTAATACTATCATACAGAGTAAGAATCTGTAACAAAAACAAAGCATGTTAAATAAATATACCTTCAACCCTGGGAAGTTGGTTCTTCCTCAACTACCTTGTAAGTTGTCAAGCAAGTTCTTGCCTAGGCATATTGTGAACTTTCCTCAAATATGCAAACTATCTTTTATGCAATAAAACTACAGATATTATCAACAAATTCAAACTTCTAAAAGCATTTCTACATACAATTATAACTTAAAATTTTAACACTCTTAAATAATCAAACTTATGTAGACTTTAAACCCTTATTTGTGGATCAATATCAAAATTAAGACATTTAACTCCACCTAGTGATTTTCAAATATTTACATATACTAAACATTTTATCATCCAAGGTCTCAGTGTAATTTTAGAATTTACATCAACTTTGAATTCAGCTAATACATGCCATGACATCATTGACCTTGTAGAATCCAGACTTCACTTGCAAAACTTAGGGTAACTTTTGACATATTCATTCTGTCACCGTCCTTGTTTCCATTTCCCCACTCTCAGGTAAGAGCATACACTACCAACATTGCAAATTTTAGTTAGTATTTACCTGGACAGCACTCAGAGTATACAAAAGATGAGGATCATGTCCGATACTAGCACTTATTCCACCACACTCGTGTTGACATGATTTAATAAATGTCAGAATTTCTTCTCTATTCATGCGATGTAGTTGTCCCATGAGATCCATTACAGTCAGACCCCAATAGATGCCACTCATTCTCAAATACTCAGACATACAGTATTCCTAAAACACATAATCACTTTAATGTGTCAGTTTGAATTGATACCGGGTTAGAAACTGAACACAAACCTTTAATTCAATCATAAATGATGAGTTTAAGTTTGTGGCTTTCAAATCTGGGGGGTAAGGGGCCCACTACCTGAGAAAGACATGATAAACTCACTTGTGACTAACTATAAATAGGGCCAACCACAATAAGAAAAAGACCAACCTTTTTCAAGTTCAAGAACATTTCTTTCAGAGTATCTCTACATCATATTTAACTCCATAATTACAAGGTTATGGGAACCTATCACTTAAGTCAAGAATCTATCAATACTAGGTATTTTCCAAGGCGATAAATAATCCAGCTGTTTCTATACTACAGGGAAAAATATTTATTTTCAGATGAGTTGTTCACTACTTTTTTCTAAGACTGTCCCAGAAGAAAACTAGTCTACATTGTTTAAAACCCAAGGTAAATTTTCAAGGTCTCAGCGTAATTCTAGAGCTAGTGTTATTACACATCAGCCGTGAGTTCAGGTAATACATGCCAAGACATCATTGACCTTGAAAGCATTACCTCAATTACAAAAGTAGAAATCTATTCTGTACCTCAAACCTCCTATAAATCTAGGCAAGAGGGGAATCTACCTGGTGTGCCAAGGCCTCTATCATCAGTCCTTGGCATGCAGGAGTTGAATTACTGTTTTTTAAGGAACACAGGCCATAAATACTGATCTACTGACTACTTATGGAGAATAGTCTTGGCCTCTCTAAACTAAATTTTAAACATAAAATCATACATACATAATCATCTTTCTTTGAGCCATAGGATGCGATATAATCTGCATGCTTCTCCAATAGAAGGGTGTCAGGTGCGTCTGACTTGATAGTAACATCCTTCTGTGGTGTGCCCTTTAAAAATAAAAGTAGCGATTTCATAAATGTTTATCTCTTAATGTTTGACCCCAGAGCATATTCAGTACACATCTGAACTTAATGCCCTTGATTCAGGTATCTTTCAGGTCTCAGAGTAATTCTAGAGCTAAAATAGTCGTAATCAACTTTGGATTCAGAATACATGCCAGCTCATCATAGACCCGAAAAATGACCTTTACATGTTGCTTACCTTTCTCTTAAAGAGTAATAATTCTATTAATCCTAGAAACTCGGGTTTTCAAAGCACTTTCTACACACCCCAAAAGTTATCCCATTGCTCAAGCAGTCCCTTTAGCCTCATCCTCTCCAGCTTTAGTTTCTGCAGTTGCAACAAGCCCCCAGGTGATGAGGGTGCTGTTCTAATGCCCCACTTATCTAGAGCTTCGTGATTGAGACAACTATATTCATTATAAGGAGATCATGCTAATGACCAAAAAGATTTCCTTTACGTTTCATTTAAAATTAACTACCACACCAGTCACGAGTCTAAAGAGCCATTTAAAAAATATACGTTTGTATATGTATATAGAAAGCGGAAAGTACCGCCTACCGGCTTGGTTTTGAGGGACTGAGAAATCGGGCCTTCGGATCCTGGGGCCCGCTGGACAGGAGGAAGCCTGGATAAAACTAAACGCCGCGCCCGCGCGGTCTGCAGAAAACGCTGAGTAACATTGCAGACTCTGGGAGCCCTCAAGAAACCTTCCAAAGCCCGTGCCTTAACCTAACCATTCTCCAATACTCGCTAAACCACGCTATGATCACGGAGCGGCTCAATATTACCCTATCCGGCCTCGTCCCTGACTCGTCCCGACGGAAGCGCAACACACAACCTCACTCACCATGTCTGAGAGCGAAAAGAGAACTGGGCCCGTTCCTGGGTGTATTTAGCAGGCACGCGCCTGCGCAGAAGCAGCCCTCAGGCCCCCTGCGCGGCCTGCCATAGTTGACCAAACTCCCGCCTGTTCCGTGGCTGCCCTAGGACCCCACCGACTGCCTATAGCTGTCTTCGCTGCCTGTGCCGAAAGTCTCTGGCCCGCGTTTTCTTCTCTCCTAATCACATCGATTGGTCTAAAACAGTTTTAAGGAATATTTAAGTACCCCAATTACTTATAAGAAATAACCTGTACTTAAGGCTCTTTGAACGCTGAAGATCTGAAATGGCCGGTATGTGAAGATACCGTGTGCAACACAGGAGAGAACCGGCACCTTGATCTCGCGCTTCCTAGCCCCTAGAACAGTGAGAAATAAATGTTTGTTGTTCAAGCCACTCAGTCTGTGGTATTGTTACAGCAGCCCGATCGAGGGCAGCCATCTACAGACAGTTTCCGTCTTGCTCTCATGCCAGCTAGAAGGCTGTGCTGTAAGCTGCAGGCCACAGGTTGTGCATTCAGGGACCTCTCAGGCTCATGGAATGGATCAGGGGTTTTGAACTATTGATAGATACTTTAAAGAAACTTCTTGGGTACAGACTTCCAAGCTGACATAGCATAGACTGTTGTAGCTCACTGTCCTTAGAACCAATAAAGAAAAACAACTTGTCTTTGAGCTGCCCTAATTAACCACCTCAGGGACAGCAAGATGAACAATGGGGAATGTTATAGACGGTTTTAGCCCCATAAAAATTCACCAGAGTTTGACCTTAACTGGGAATTTGAAAAGCAACATCCTTCAGGAAAAGGGAGGACAGAAACGGCCCCAAGGCCAGTGTCCTGCATGCTCTGTAAAGAAACTGATAGGGAGAAACTGAAGCTCCCTTTACCCCATAAAACTAACTGTTAAACATGTGTGTATTGCACCTGACTGACCGCTGATATCCATCTCGAATTTGTTAGTTTTTAAAACTTGGATAATGAAATGAATAGCAGGATAGATGTATGCTGACCCAGTTCACCCAGTTCCCTTTCGCCTCAGCTCCCTCCCACCTCCATTCCCTCCTGCTTATCGCTAACTGCCTCCGCTTCTGTACAAGCAGCTTGCTTGCTTTGCTAAACTCTTGAATGACCCCTGCCCTATATAAGCAACCCTCCCCCTGAGCTCGGGGCTGCAGTTCACCTCTGTGTAGGTTGGCTGTAGTCCCTGCGCAAGTAATAAAGCATCCCCCAAAACTGAAAAATTGAGTCTGAGTGTGGTCGATCTCCTGGGTTACAACAAAGACAAATTTCACATTGTACCAGTGCACCAGTCAGGATTTCTAGGACTCTTTAGTCAGAAAGCTGATGGCTTCTTGACAGCAGTTCACTGACCCAAGATCCAGAAGAACAATTACAGAGAACTGAATTTTTATGGATGTGTGAGGAAGTGTTGTAACCCAGGAGAATCAACCACACTCGGACACAAAGTAATTTTGAATATTAGGAACTTTATTACCTGCGCAGGGACTGCAGCCAACCTACGCAGAGAACTGCAGCCCTGAGTCAGGGTGGGTTGTTTATATAGGACAGGGGGTCGTTCAAGAGTTTAGCAGAGCAAGCCAGCCATGTGTACAGAAGGGGAGGCAGTTAGTGATAAGCAGGAGGGAATGGAGGTGGGAGGGAGCTGAGGCCAAAGGGAACTGGGTGAACTAGGTCAGCATACATCTATCCTGCTATTCATTCTATTATCTAAGTTTTAAAAACTAACAAATTTGCTTAGAGGACACATTCATTTAGAGGAGTGTCAGGCCAGCTGGTACTTCCTCAGGTTGCCTCTGAAAGTTTCATAGTTTGCCTTTTAATCAGGACAAAGTGATAGGAGCAGGTTATTACAGAAGCCCTTTTTAATTCTTAAGCTATCACGAGCCTTCAATTTGGTTGACTTTGCCTTTGCAAACTGGAGTTTTAAAATGGTAGCTGATTCTCACTGACTCTCCAGAATTCAGAAACATTTACTGGATCGTCTTGCATTTCATGGCAATATTCAAGAGGAATCTGTATTCCTGTTTACCAGGATATAACTGAAGAAATTGATTGTGTAGCCAAGCCATACCTGGTTTGTCATATTTGAAAATAATACTCATTTAATTTCTATGACTAGCCCACTATTAATAAACAAGCTGACTTTATATGTAGAGTCAATGCCTACAAAGTTATCCCAGTAAAACTGAAATGGTACCTGGCTTACACGGTTCTAGTTTAATAGGACCCTTCTTGGCAATCCAGGAACCTTAGTAAATTTTGGAGAAGCTGAGGAGAGAGATTCATTTAAATTCTTAGGTACTACTAGAGAAATCTGGTGGAGAGTTTCTTGGAATGCTTCCCTACCCTTTAGATAGAAAGTGATAGAGGCTTTAAAAGTCCAATTTCAGTATCTTTATGAAAACTTTCAAATAGAAGGTAATCCTGTCTGTGGATTTGCAGTTAACACAAGAAAGCCTAGATGGTTAATTTACACTCTTGCTGTATCTAGGTCAATAGTTGGGCCAAATCTGCCTTTTTGCAATAAAAAATAATCTTGGCAGATTATTTATAATCACAAGGAAGAAACTGTCAAGAAACATTGTCAAAAACTTGGAAATGGATTGAAAATTTTACTAAATATCCTTTTAGTAAAGTGGTAGGTATTGTTTAATGGATTCTTGGTATTTTCTGAAGGGGTATGTACCTGTGTTTGTCTTTCTATTGGCTAGGCTGTTATACGACTCTGTAAAATTAGAAGTTAAATTGTAGAAAATGGAGAGTAATGCAAATAAACCATGAACTACAACTGATTTCTGCTCCTTTAAATTTTGTTGCCCTATAGGTTATTAGCCAGTCTTATATATATTAGCAAATTCTTGTAAGCATTTCTAACTGCCTATATATCTGTTCTTCAAATCCTCCCTTTTACCAGTTTTAACATCTTATTAGTTTCCTCATTCACTGAGTTCAATGACATTTTTAACATGTGTTTAAACAACAATAAAAGCACTATTGCCTGTAGAGTTTGTTAACTTCCAAAGACCTTTTGTACTATTTGATAATGGGTAATGTATTCAAATTAATGGATATGATCTTAGGAGCCATATAAACAGCCATTTGTTTGTTTGTTTATTTATTTATTTATTTATTTGATATGTGCCCCTAGCGGGAACCGAACCCGGGACTCCACAGGCCAGCGCTCCAACTGCTGAGCCAAACTGGCCAGGGCCATTTATTTTTTTTAATTAAGAGGAATCTTGGAATAATCTCTTCTCCCTTTATGCAAATTGGTGACTCTGGTACATTACTTAAACATTCATTAAAATTGCCATAAACTTACAAAATCTTTTATAAAATGATGCCTGTTCCAAGAACCATCAATTCACAGATGTGTGCAACGAACAGTCATGTTTATAGTTTATGACTCTACCTACCCTTCTGGCTTTCATAGCCCTAGAAAGTCAGCTGATAAGTGGTAGGAAATCTAATATGTAAATATTAGATCTTATTCTATCATGGGATCAGTGAAGCAGAGAAAGCTAAGCTACAAAACAAGAGAAAAAGAAACATGACAGCAAAAAGTTGTGAGGTAGAAAAACAGTATTTCATGGAATGCTAAAGATTATCTGGGGTCTAGTACCTTACTAAAATTAACTCCATCCCTCCCCTTCAGCTCCATGAGGCACTTCAAAATACAGTTGGCTCTTGAACAACTTGGGTTTATTGATATTTAGAGAGAGAGGGAGGGAGAGGGAGAGGGAGAGAGAGAAACATCAGTGAAAGAGAACATCAATTGGCCGCCTCTTGCATGCCCCCCACTGGGAATTTGGCCCACAACCTGGGCATGTGCCCTGACCAGGAATTGAACTGGTGACCTCTTGGTGCATGGGTTGATGCTCAACCACTATGCCACACCAGCCAGGCTATGTGGATTTTTTGTTTATCAATAAATACTTAAACTGATTTTTTTTTTTTTTTTTTTTGTGGTACATGCCTTTAGCGGGAACCAAACCCAGGACTCTCTGGTCTGCAGGTTGACACTCAACTGCTGAGCCAAACTAATGTATTTTCTCTTCCTTATGATTTCTTAATAACAGATTCTTTTCTTTAGCCTACCTAATATAAGAATGCAATATATAATAATATAATATACAAAGTATGTGTTAGTGGACTGTTTATGTTCTCAGTAAGCCTTCTGGTCAGCAGTAGGCTATTAGTAATTAAGTTTTTTAAAAAATATATTTTATTGATTTTATTTTAGAGAGAGAAGGGAGAAACATCAATGTGAGAAATATTGATTGACTGCCTCCTTCACGCCCCCAACTGAGGATTGAGCCCACAACCTGGGCATGTGCCCTGACCAGGAATCAAATCAGGACCTGTCAGTCTATGGGATGACACTCAATCCACTGAGCCACACTGACCAGGCAGTAATTAAGTTTTTGGAAAGTGAAAAGTTATTAGCCATATTTGACTGCATAGGGGTGGAGGTTGTGGGGAGAGTTTCACTGCCCCTAACCCTTGAGTTGTTCAAGGGTCAAATAACTTAAAATACATTTCTTCACTTTTCAAAATAGCTCAAGTTCATTTGTGTTACTTGTGACTAAAGTCTTAATTGGTAATTATATAAATGCTTAATACTTATTAGCAAGGGTACTTCAATAAATATTCCCATCATATGGCTTTGAAATACATTTTTATCTAAAAGTTTTATATTTAGACTTGTTAAATTTTTAGACTTGTGTATTATAAATTCAAATCTGCATTTTGAATGTATATATTCTATTTAACTGGTAACTTCCATGTAATACTCAATTTAGGCTATTAGTAAGTCTCTAAATCTCCTTATCAATCTCTAGGTGTGCCATTAAAATACAATTTCATAATTGAACATAAAAAAGTCATTTATCTTTTATAAAAGATTCGATTTTTATTTTCATAATTTAGTGTGGTATAGGGTATGTATTTGGC